GCCTGGGTCCCTACAGTGGTACCCGGGGAGAAGAGGACTGGGAAATGCATAGTAAATAACGGTTGTTTAGATGGGTTTGTTATGCAGACTCATCTCTGTGCCGTCTCTGGTCTTCCTGGTACTGGGAAGGGGAACACCTTTACAAATGCAAAGTTAAGATGTCACCTTTACAAAGGGAACCTTCTGCCCTGATTTTAGGCAGAATGGGGAGGGGTGGAGGGCTCTTCCAGTGCCTTGGCTCAGTGTAATCCTTCTGTGTGCGGCATATTTTGGGGTGGCGTATTCTGATCCCCATCAACATGGATAAATAAAAAAAATCAAGTAGCTGCATCCTCCCCCCTCCCCCAAATCTCATGAGGCTGAAAAGTAGGAATTGATTGCATTGGTTGCATTATAGGGAGTTTTTGGTTTAATTCTTTTACTCCCTCCACGGGATTTGTGGTAATGGGTAATGCGTAAAAGTGTGGACTGTCTGAGCTGTTGCCACTTCAGCTGCCATCGGCCGGTTCAAGATAAGGCCTCGATCTGATTTCATGATGTTGGGCATGTCTCTGAGGGGCAGCCCCCTTGAGGTGACTGAGGGGGGCTTTGCGTCTTCCTTATTGGTGGGCAAAGCCACGTCTCAGCCAGTGTGAGTGTCCAGAGCGCCTAAGAGGACCCGCCTCCACGGTCGCTGGCTAAGGGCCCAGTGTCATTGTTTGGAACAAATTGTGGTCCCCAGTGAGGAGTGACTGCATTAGTTTTCCTAGGGCTGTGGAATAACTTACCACGAAATCTGTGGCTTAAAACAACAGAAATGTATTTTCCAACCGTTCTAGAGGCCAGAAGGCCAACGTGAAGATGCTGGGAGGGCGTGTTCCCTCCAGAGTCTCTGGGGGAGGACCCTTCCGGCCTCTTCCAGGCTCTGGTGGCCGTGTTCCTTGGCTTGTGGCTGCTTCACTCCCATCTCTGCCTCTGTCTTCATGCTGGGAATGTGCTTACATGTGGTGATTTTTAAAAGGAGTTTCTTCTATCTCCACGGCCACCTCCGAGTGACATGCCGTCTCTGGCCAACCCTCTTGCTCCAGTAAATGAACAGTTACTTGGGAAATAAGGTATTTCTAATTCCCCCACCCCCTAGCAAATTTTTTATTTTTTGCTTTCCATCATTTCCTACTAAGGACTTGCTTTGTCCTCAGTATTTTATTATCTCATTAATTCCTTACAATGGCTCTGCATCTGTCAGGGTTCTTGGTCTCGTGCAGAATTAGTTAAGGTGAGAAAGAGCCAGGGAGAGGAGAGGAACGGAGCGGGGGAGGAAAGGAGAGGAGAGGAGAGGAGAGGAAGGAAGGAGGAGCGAGCCTATCACAAAATGTGAGTCAGCACTGCTTTCGTTTCACACATTGACAAAAAGGAGGTGCAGAGGTGATGAAGTGGTTGCCCTAATCACAGTTAGCAAGTATTGGAACTGGCTTTCAGACCCAAGGGTCTGTTTGTCAGATTCACACTCTATGAGAACAACTTATGAGACATGTCACTGTCCAGGACAGTTGGACAAGCTAGTGCCCTACTCAACTCCCCAGATCAAGGAGGCTCTGCCTCTGCCGGGGGACTCGCCACAGTCTCAGAGAGGGAGCCATTGAAGTGACAGAACAGGAATTTATTACAGGGCAAGACTTGGCCCAGTGTGGGCGGGCTGGTGGGGAAGGCTATGTAGACTGTTCCGTCTGGGTCTAGTACTGAGCCTGGAGTCACGAGAGGTCAGCTAGGTGGCAGCTGGGAGGGAAGGATGGAGGTGAATCAGAGCAAGTATGCACTGGAAGCGAGTCTGTGCGTCACCACCACCACCCTTGAAACCATGGAATCACGGGCCTCTGGAGAAGCACGGAGGGGCACACGACCATGCCGTGTGCTTATGAGAGAGAAAATTATAGGCAGTCAGGGAAATGGCCAGGTAGAAGGAATCAGGGTGGAAACCATAACAGAGCCAGGAGAAATAATCTTAATAGCTGACTGACTGGTTTAAGTCACAGGACCCCACCAAAATGACAAACTTGGGAGGGGGAGGAGGAGATGGTTTTTTTCAACGCCTATAACAAGAAAGTCAAAAGTTAAGTTTCACCTCCAGAGAGGAGGATTCAGAGAGTCAGGAGCTCCCTGATAGAATGAGCAGCAGACATTGATATCTTCCAAGCCCCAGCCTTGAGATAGCATAATCCTATCCAAACAGAGACGTCAATTATGCTCTGAGGCAACTAGACAGTTTCAAGAAAACGCCTCTTCCAGGCTAAATTCCTCTCCAGGTATACAAAGAAAATATAAAAGGAGTAGTTTCTCACCTAACGCAGGCACCCCAGTTGGGATCCACTCTCGTTTTATGAGCTGTTACTTTCTGCTCTAATAAAACTGTCCTCTTGCTGTAAACTTTACCTTTCTGGTCCGTGTCTCCATTCTTCGGCTTCATAAGACTACGATCCGGGCACAAGAAATATCCCACATCACTTGGACCGGCCAAAGGCATCTGGCCGAAGCTCAGGAGCTGCAGGTCCTCAAGCCAGCCGTTCGGTGAGTGTGCACAAGCCGCCACGCTCCGATGCCCATGGCCACCGTCAGAATACAAAACAAGTGACTGCTGCATCACTTCTGCTTCTGAAGCTCATGCAGTGTCTCATAACCAATGCTAACCTTCCAATATCCAGCTTAGTGACATGGGCACGATACAAAGCCACTGCCCCTGCCTGTGAGTGCCAGGGGCAGCAGAGCGCACCTCTCATTGACCGAAAATGCCAGAAGTTGGTTTTCTTGCTCACCTTGCAGCTCAACGCCTGCCCTGGGATAAACCCATCAGATGTGTCTGGGGTTCTGATTCTAAAGCCTTCAGGCAGCAAGGACAGCAGTGACTTCTTCCTGTCCTGTCTGGTCCCCACGAGGCAGTGCAGTGTGGTTTATACACTGGGAACTCAGGCCCAGGGCGCTGGCTTTGAATAGGCCGGGTCTCTGTGACTTGGGCAAGCTGAGCTTTCTGGGCCTGTTTCCCCATCTTTAAAATGGGATGAAAATGTCTTACCATAATCATTATGTGGTGGGATGTGAATTGCACAAATTCAGGTTTGAAACTTAACGAGTTTGCCGCCGTTTTTTTTCCTGCCTGTTTTCCAAGCTGGCATCTCCCAGCTCCCTGGTGATTCTGTGAGCTACCCCGTTGCCTTTTCTCGGTGTATTCAAGGTTAGTTCCCCAGCGCTTGGTCCTGTTACTCAAAGGAGGCAGACAGGTGTCCCACCTGGAGCACGTGCAGCGTGCCATGGACTGGGTCTTTCTGGTCCTTAGCTGGCTCTCTTGTGGTGTCACTGACAGTAGCAGTGGTGAGCTTTGCCCTTGCCCCTCCAACACAAACGCTTTTGGAAAAGCCACCAACTCTAAGACGCTTGTTCTCTTGTCCGTTACCGTGAAAGCTCTTTTGATGAAGGCTTGTGTGCCGATCAACACTGCAGATGTGCTGGTTGGAGATGGAGAGTCACTTTGTTTCTGATCTTTGGGCTTCGCTTAGGCGAGTGAGCATCTGATCTACGGCAACCCAAGCTACAGCCCTCCCCAAAGTGATGCCCTGTTCTGGCTGCAGGGTGCCCTCCATTGCTCCAAGCCTGAAACGGGACCTCCGAGGGCAGCTCCTCTCATTAAACTCAGTTCCGAATCTGGCTTTTTCACTCGTAATGTTTTAGAAAGACAGGAGGCTGAAAAATAACAGCTTTATTTAAAGCATCCACAAAGTGCCAAGGAAAACCATTCCTTGTTCATTTTGAAAAATCTCAGTGCCTCTGAGGCCTGAACTTTCACTGTGTCCCAGGAGAGAATGCATCTCTCAAACAGACTGTCTTGCACACGAATAATTATTTTTCTGTTTTCTCAGCATCCCCCCCCCCGCCCCCGTTTGTCCCATTGGGCCCTGACTTACACCTGTCAAGTCTGTTCACTTGTTGAGGTCCTTGTGCCAGCCACAGCATCACCTCAGGGCTCCCTCACACAGAGGAAGCACAGGACACCTCTAGGGAGCACCTTGGTGTTACATTCTTTCTTCAAGTAATGACGCTGGCCAGGAAGTGAGCAAAGGGCCACGTTAGAGAATCAGCAAATTAAAGCCTTTAATCTAAGGCAAACAATTCCATTTTCCTGAACTGAAATAGGGGGTTGGATGCTTTTATAAAAGATAGTGTATGTTTTGTGTACACAGCACACAATGCTTGACTAATTTTATTATATATGTACACAAACAGATTGAGGGGAAACCTCCAGACTAGTTCCCCAAATGATTAACAAAAATGACAAAAAAACAAACAAACAGGAGGTGGGGGCATAAACTAACAGCCCTTAGAATCTGAACAGACTGGGAAGACATGTACTTTCATCAAACCTTGGTGGAGATGCACGCCAGGGATAACCTGGCCCCAGAAGCAGTTTCTTCCTACGCTGACCATAAGCAGGCCACCGAAAGCACACCTGATTGTCAAGAGGAAACGGTGGCTGCTTTTATCCTAGGGCTTCTGAGAGCAGCAGCAACGTCATCGTCACTAAAGAGATTATACCCAGCACATCTCAGAGACAAGGGTCCATGATAGTGTTTGCTCTGGAACATATCCATTGGAAGCACGTATCGAATGCAAATCAGAAATCCATGAAACTAGAGGCCACCACAACTCAGGGAAGAGGGCTGTCCCTGCACAAAGGGTTCATAACCTTACTGATCTTTACAATGGCAAATAGTGTTAGAGGAACATTGTAAACCAGACAACTTAAATATGAAAAACAAAGCAAAATGTAGTACAACATACAGTTAATGAAGACTTTCTTTTAGGTAAGGGTGTCAGAAAACCCGGAGATAGATTTTATATCGCAAAATGGTCCGTAGCGCCCAAAAATGTCTTTCGATTGGACAGTAAAATAGTATTTGCTGGAATTTAAAAACTGAGATAAAGTGCAGGCCATTGGTAGTGGTAAAGCTTTAATTTCTCCAATTTTCTTCCAAGCTGGCTTGTTACTAGTGTTCTCGTGGCACAGGAAGAGGTGATAGCTTTCCACAGGTGCGCACTTGGGGTTGATTTTGGTTATGTTCCAGGTCAGGGCGATGCCCCTGGGTCTCAGAACCCGCTTCACTTTGAGCTCAGCCTTCTGGGGAGGGAGGGTGTCCCGGATTTTGTCCACCATCTCGGGGTTGGGTGTTGGTGGTTCCGGGAGAGGTGGCAGGTGCTCAAAGGACTCAGGAACCTGAAACACATTTACAGAAAGTTTAGTGAGATGAACTGCTAGGTTCTAATTATTTGAAAGTGGTCAACTGCAGTTCTACAAGATTATTATTTCGCATTCCTCAATCCATTTAACAAAACCCTAAGAACAAAGGATGCTTCAAAAGAATATGTGAGGCTGGATCCAGTCTTTTCAAGCTTAACGTCTTTTGAAGTTGAGATTTCTATACTCTGGAATATCCTATTCCAGAATGGGTTAGGTCCCAGACATTTCGTATAATATTCCATCTCATTTCCAAGTTGTATTCCTAAACACTGTGCTAACTCAAATGAAAAGTGTGAGAGTACAAGACTATCCATTTCCCTCCAGCCTCATCAACAATGGCTATTACTCCTAAAACAAAACTCTTTGGGATGGCCGGGTGGCTCGGTTGGTTAGAGCGCGAGCTCTGAGCAACAGGGTTGCCGGTTCGATTCCCACATGGGCCAGTGAGCTGTGCCCTCCACAACTAGACTGAAGACAACAACGAGCTGAGCTGCCAGTGGGCTGCCGGATTGCTCAGGTTAGAGCATGTGCTTTTAACAAGGTTGCCGGTTCGACTCCCGCATGGGATGGTGGGCTGCGCCCCTCGCAACTAGACTGAAAATGGCGACTGGACTTGGAGCTGAGCTGCACCTTTCACAACTAAGATTGAAGGTCAACAACTTGACTTGGAGCTGATGGGTCCTGGGAAAAACACTGTTCCCCAATAAAGTTAAAAAAAAACAAACAGATTGAGGTTCCGCCCCAATTTGTTTGTATGCATATATAATAAAATTAGCTAAGCATTGTGTTCTGTGTACACAAAACATGGGCAGCTCGGCAGCCCATGTGAGAATCGAACCAGCAACCCCGGTGTTATGAACCTGCACTCTAACCACCTGAGCTAACTGGCTGCCCAAAAAAATTCTTTAAAGAAAAAAAAAAAATCTTTTCCAATTTGTGGAGAAAAATGGTATTTGTTTTAATCTCTGTATCTTCTGGAAAAATCGATTACATTATTTTAATTGCACAAGTAGACTCACAATAGCACATTTTAAAAAGCACACTGAAGTGTTTTCTAAACTGAAATGTGACCCAAATATTTCTTCATGAGCAAAATGGGCACTTCCATTTCCACTCAGTTTGGAATGACTGTCCCCTACGCAGCATTTTGTATCAGTACCTGGATTGCGGTTTGTGCCACTGGGATTGTCTCTTTTGAGATTGAAATAGTTTTCATAGGAGACTCCAGAGTGGATACTGGACTTTCTGTGAACAACACAAGGTTTAAGAAGTTAAATTGATCTGCAATAATCAATCCCTTAGCCTTTAAGCGAAGAATACTTTATGTCTTGGGTGATAATTAAATGTGAGCTAAAATTACAAAACTGTGAAATAGGAAGATAAACTTTTGATAAAAGTTCAAGATCCAAAGTTCCCAAATATGGAGAATTTTTCTTTAACATGACAAAAAATCCCCACTGTAGGTAGTTAAGTCATCATGTAACTGGGAACTAGGAAAAGTTACACTGGGGAGGGAGCTCCTGCTCAATGGCCTAAGGGATGGTCAACAGGGTGAATGCAAACACAGAGCTATTTACAATTCCGCATGCGTATGAGACCCCAGCTCTGGGAATTCAAGCTAAAAATCCTACAGGCTGGGGTTATGAAACCTCTACTGTTGAGGTCTATGTTAGCCTAGGGAATTAGACACAAATTGTGGACTGCGGAAAGTGTTAAAAGTAAACCACAGCCTATTCTATCAAAAGCCAGCAGGATATGCATCCTGCCGGCAATGTTAGCCCAACACCCCACTTCCTTCCCATTCTTAGCTTAACTGAAGCCGGTAGCTAGGCAGATCTTGCTTTTCTATTAGCCAATCGATTTAGATTGTTTGGTCACACTCTAGCCATTGGAGTACGACATAGTGACACCTGCGTCAGGGATAAAAGTTGAGTGGTCTGCCCGCTCACCAGTGTGCTTGCTTAGACCGATTTACGGTGGCTCTGCACCCTTTTGCAGAAGTAAAGTCTGCCTTGCCGAGTGACTTTCGACTTCACGTGTCTTTATTTGCGACACGGTTAAACTCTGTTCCCAACAAAAGGAAAGGGAGGCGGAGGGACAGAAGGGAGAATGGAAGAGAGAGCGAGATGGTGAGAGGAAGAAAGAAAAGGGGAAAACAGGGAACATGTGGGTGTGAGGATAAGAGCTTTTGAAACAACTGGGAAGAGTCTGTATTGCCCCATGTATGAGATGCACCCTTTTTCTAAAGATTTGGGGGTCTAAAAACTGGGTGCGTCTTATACAGTGGTTGTAGGTTTTTTTACTTGCATTTCCCGCTTTTTTCGTGCTTGTTTTTTTTGGGGGCGCTCATACAACCACTGTATAAGACGCACCCAGTTTTTAGGCCCCAAATTATTCGAGAAAGGGTGCATCTTATACTTGGGGAAATATGGTATATATGGGGATGGTAAGAAAAGGGGCTTCATATTGGAAAGTAGCAGGGCTGAGTAGAATGCTAACCTCTAAAAACCTCAGAAATTGGAACATATCTAATAAGCAGTAAAAAAGCATTTTAGATTCATTGTGTATGTAGTGATATAACTGTTTAATATACTTTAGGAATCTCCCCAAATGAAATTTGTTATTTGTATTTTTTCTTTTGACTGACAAAGATAAATAAGAGTCTGCATTGTGTTTCAAAGTTAATTTATTAGTCACTTTATTTACTGGTGTTAAAAAACCTTTTTAGAAGAGGTAATGGCTTTATGATTTTAATTGTTAAGAGTATGTACAGCCTTTTTAAACTGGTTTAATTACTTAGAACTAGATTTGGGAAAGCAAACCTATAGGTTAATCATCACACAAGAGCTGATACAAATAACCTTTAAATTATCAAGAGAACAGTTTCTTGCAAAAAAAGGTTCTAACAAACATGACTTTCCATAACTATCATTTCTTCTTTCAACAGTTTGTAGAAGAGGAAGCTAGAAAAATTTTCAGGATCTAGGTCATTAAGGATTTGTATATCTTGTTAAAATCATTTAGATTTTATCCTAAAGACAAAAACATAACCAGATTTGTATCTAAGAAATAATATTTTAGTGGCAGCTTGGAACATTCATTAAAAGCAGTGAGTTAGGGCAGAAATATTAATTACTAAGTTATGGCAATAGGCCAGGCTAAAGGTGATGGAATTCTGAAAGGAGGAAAAATATGAACCAGACCTGTTAGCTTTTTAGGAGACAGAACTGATGGGCTAGGTCAGGGGTTGGCAAACTGCAGCTCATGAGCCACATGTGGTTCTTTGGGTGCGTTCCGTCTCAAAAGTTTGCCGACCCCTGGGCTAGATAGTCAGTTTTCAGATCAGATGAGGCAGATCTGAGAGTCAAGTGACTCTTCCACTCTGGCTTGGGAAATGGGGTGAGCTGGTGATAGCCTAATTCACCGAGTCTGGGAATATGGGAAATGGTCCAAGTTTGACCTGACGCTTATTCAGAACTGGACATTCTACAAGACAGACTCCTAGTACCATGAGTTAGCGTCATGACTTAGCACCATCTATCTTTCCAATTGCTAGATTTCAAACAAGCCCCTAAGTTAGAGGCATGATTTATTTTGTTAAGCACTGAATGAATGTGTTCTTACTTTTTACATTACTTTTTAGTATCTCAAATCCTACGTCATGTATATAGTTTAGAAACCACTTTGTAATCTTAATCATTAAAAGGTAACATTACTTCATATGGACTCCAATTCATTTTTCAAATTTATATTTTTAATCTTCATCTTGAAACTGGAAATTGAAGGGTTTTTAAAATTCTATCATGAGGTGCCTGGAGATTCCAATGGTTCTTGCCCTTGTGGGATCCACAGTTGAAAGGGGAAGAGGAACTAGATTACTTACTTCCTATCCTAATCTCCATTTTAAAATATTACATCATTTACTAATGTTAATAAGTGGAATTCAAACATTTCCTCAAAAAAGTACCATAAACATTCAATTGCTTATTAAGAGATGAACCCTTATACCTGATTACTGGCCCCAGGGGACTGTATTTTACTTTTTTTTTTGTTTAAATCTGAGAAGGGCACTATTGTCACTCTCCCTCTACATTTTCATGTTATGCTTGTGAACCCCGAGAAAAATTCATCTATTGAGAGAACTCAAACTCCCTATGGTTAACTGGGCCTAAGTTCAAAATGAGTGTCTAGTGGCTGTTTACTGACATGGCCTCTTACGTACTGTGAGCCGGGAAGAACCACAAACTGAACTTTCGGTTTCCCACACTAAACCCAGCGTGCATGTTTATGCCGCCTTAGGCAACCACTACAGAGAAGTCCTTTATTCTGTCAAAGCCATGTTATCACCCAGCCAATAGACTGTGACCTGACCTGACCAATAAGAAGTGCACGAAATGTACCCTAATTGGCATTTATACCAACCAATCCAATCCAATTAGGAAACCTCATTTACATGAAATGGACTAAAATTATAACTACTCGTGGGAAGTTTTCCATAACAAACGGCCTCTCCTGTATCTTGGTGGAGCACACTTTCAGTTTCTGCCGGAGGCTGCGTATTCCTGGTTTATAAACTATTATTTGAATAAAGGCTCTCCATTTTCGCTCCAGTGCCTTTTGCTGGATTTGTTTACATGCCCTAGCATCCTCTCACAACTGCTATTGTTATGGTTAAGGAAGAAAACGTGTGTGCCAGAGGTAGAAAAGAGATTCATAACAGCCCCAAACAACCCAGATGTCTTTCACTGAGTGAATGGCTAAACTATGTTGTATCCATACCATGGAATACTACTCAGCCATAAAAGCACTAGTGATACACACAACTTAGATGATCCCCACGGGGAATTAGGCTAAGTGAAAGGCACCAATTGCAGAAGGATACACACTGTGTCATCACATTAATATACCATATTTCCCCATATATAAAACGCTCCCATGTATAAGACCTTAATTTTGAGGCCCGAAATTTGAAAAAATGTATTCCATAAAGTTAATGAACTCAAGTTTTATTCACCATAAAATTCATACAACTCCTCATCACTTGTGGGAAATGCAAGTAAAAAAATCTACAACCACTGTATAAGATGCACCCAGTTTTTAGACCCCAAATTTTTCGGGAAAGGGTGAGTCTTATACATGGGGAAATACGGTAACATCCCTGGAATAACATCATTATAGAGGTAGGAAGAGATGACTGGTGGCCAGGGCTTAGAGACCGGGGGCAGGAGGTAGGTGTGGCTATACAGGAGTAAGCACAGGGAACCTTGGAGTGATACGACAGCTGTGTCATTTGATTGTGGCAGCAGTTACATGGATCTACATGTGATAAAATTGCATGGAGTTATAAACACACACATAGTAACACACTAAAACAAACTTTATAAACAGGTCAAGTATGTTTTGAGTTGTCACCCTTCCCTCTTTTTTAAAAAAGAAAGATAAATCCTTTACCTGTGTTGCAGTTCGATAAGCCTTCTTTTGTCAGATCAATCACAGAATCAAGCTTCTTTCTCTTTATAGTCTGAAAAGTTATGTTAAAAGATATTTTACCTTAGTAGCAGAAAATGTTTTTAAAAAATAAAACACATATTTTAAATTAGTATATAGAAGCTAGAGACTAAACATTCTCTAGGTCTTCTAACTCTACTATAAAAGAGAAGCTCATAAAATGCTGTATAGTGTCTGAAAATATGACTAAGCAGAGTCTAAGTAAATTTGGTAAGTATGGCTGTAAAATATGTCAGTCAGGAGCTGTTTGCTTGTTAATGTTTAAGCTAAACTGGAACCTGGTTATGCTAACTAGTCAGACATTAATTTCTCAGAGAAAGAATCTCCCAAAGAATGAATAACAAAGCTCAGTCATTCAACATGAGCAACACTAAAGTTCCTAGAACTAACATATTCAAATAAACAACATTCAAAGACAATATTTATTATCTACCATAATTTCAGTTTCGGCATCAGGTGAATTGTTAGAATTTCCTGATGTAGTTTTTCCAGTATCTGAAAGAAAATGATTAAAATATAAATATTTGACAAGTTTATTAAACTATTAAATATTTATGGGCTTTGTAAATATATAATGCTGAAACACAGTAATAACGGGACTGCTATTTAACCATTTATATAATCATAAAAATTAACTCAATTGACTTTACCTATTCCGAAGACTGATGAGCAAGTTAAATGTCAATTTGGTTTGAAAGATTTTGTCCTTCTGTAATTTTATAACTATATTAATAGCTCTGTTTTGAAAATCTATCTGTAAATTAATAGCATTTGAGGAAATAAACTTGGAAAGGTACACATTTTTTTATTCACAGTATCTTTAGACAAGGCTATCTGAGATGGCTGGGGAGCATTCCTCCTAAAACCAGCAGAAAGC